CAAATTTGACCGTTTGATTTACCTTGGAGTTTGTCCCATTTTACACAAAAATGCCAAATTTTTACTTTGGCCATAACTTTAAACGGTAGATACTAGTACTCTCTACTTCAAATGTGTAGTTTTTTGGCATTACCTTTCATTGTGATACTAGAAACAGAACGCTTTTGAAACCTTGACCTTGGAGATTTCCGTACTTATGATTTTTTTTTTTTACCTTGGTCATAACTTTGAACGGTAAGGGCTAGGGTATTCATACTTCACATATGTAATCCTTGTTACATTAAACATTTTCTTAAGAAATCATCAACTTTGACCTTTGAGATTGACCTACCTTTCAAAAACTTATCCTTAGCCATTACTTTTGAACAAGTGGTGCTAGGGCTTTCCTATTTTGCAGTTGTATTTCTTGTGAGAAGACCCTACTTTGGGTAACAATATAAAAATTGCATTTAAGAAAAGTTTAATCTTCGCTATGTTGCCATACAGGGGCATAGCTGTTTTACAAACACATCGTTTTTTTATATGAGGATTTCCGGATAAGAGATGGATACCCCAAAGCGAAACAAACGACGGACGGACATCCCGATTACTATATACCCTCCCGCTTTTCAAGCGGAGGATATAATAATATATAATACTGCTGATTTTTAGCTCTACTGGTCAGAGACCAGAAGAGCTTATGCGATAGTAATGCGTCCGTCGTCCATCCGTCTGTCTGTCTAGCTGGTCTGTCCGTCTGCTCTTGATAAACAATTTTTCAAAATGCTACTCCTCCTACAGTTTTGGTCTAATTTCAATATAACTTGGCACACAAGTAGACTACACTAAGGTACATAATTCTGTGTATCGGTTTTTGATTTCGATGAACGGTGTTGACGTGGTTACTAAGAATAGAAATTTCTGTGAAATTCTTTCAAAATGCTACTTCTCCTACAGTTTTGGTCTGATTTGAATATAACTTGGCACACTAGTAGACTACACTAAAATACATAATTCTGTATATCGGTTTTTGATTTCGATGAATGGTGTTATCATGGTTACTAAAAATAGAAATTTCTGTGAAATTCTTTTAAAATGCTACTTCTCCTACAGTTTTGGTCTGATTTCAATATAACTTGGCACACAAGTAGACTACTACACTAAGGTACATAATTCCGTAATCCGTTTTTGATTTCGATGAACGGTGTTGCTGTTGTTACTAAAAAATAAAATTTCTGTGAAATTCTTTCAAAATGCTACACCTCCAACAGTTTTGGTCTTATATCAATATAACTTGGCACACAAGTAGACTACACTAAGGTACATAATTCTGTATATCAGTTTTCACTTCAATGAATGGTGTTGCCATGGTTACTAAAAATAGAAATTTCTGTTAAATAGTCTCAAAATGCTACCCCAAATACAGTTTTAGGCTGATTAAAATATGATGTGGCATGCAAGTAGACTACACTAAGAACATAAAGAGACTTAATCAAGATCATTATTCTATTCATTGCTGTTGAAAAGTTTCAGTTTCCAATTGCTTAAGTACTTTTCTCTTCCTTGGCTATAAGTACAAACCAGTAGAGCTTCAGTCTCGACAGAGACTTCTGGTTTCTGTCAGTTCGATGATTTCCACAATCAAAAAACAATGTTTACCTAACCCTTAAGGCTTGATAAATCTTTTACTCCTTTAGATTCTGAATCATTGCATTGACCTTAAAATATAGCTATAATTGTATAATGTTATAAGATCAACATATCATCAATTTATTCCCAATTAGCTCAGGTGAGCATTTTGGCCAATATGCTTCTTTATCTAATTTTTTTTTTGCCCCCTAAGAATTTTAGCTTTAATCTAGAGGGGGTCATTTTTCTACGGGGGTCATTTTTCTTCACGTGGGTTCTGCAAATTTTTAGGGTGGTGACACTTTTTCTACGGGCAAAAGTGGTCATTTTTCTACGTCGAATAATGACCGGGGGTCATTTTTCGCTGGAAAAATGACCCCCGGGAATTATTCGATGGGGGTCATTATTCGTCTTTACACCGGCAAATTGAATACAGCACGTTTATCGGGACGGCCAGGTGTGTTATAGGACCACTTATATTTACATTCTCTAATTTTCCTTCTTCATAATTGCATATTTCGTTAATCTTTAATGTGAATTTAACGCCCTTCAAAACTGACGCGGTTATTAGACGTAAGAGCCATTTGTGATGTCAGATAACGTTGCAAAGTTAAATAACGCAAACGAACATTGTGAGGAAAAAAGTCACTAATTAATTTTAAATGCATATCTGTTGTATTTTTACGTTAATTTAACAGGATTATAGTTTTTAATTAAAGCGAGTCCAAACATTGTACATTTTTGTGTTCCCAGATTATAGAAAATGCATATAGTTCCTACTGTGTATTCTAACGCACGGTGACAAGGTTTCGCATGTGTTATAGAAATTTGAATGTCGTGAATTTCTAATGAATTTGATAAGGAAAAATACACGGATTGTAAATATTCTGGTATCTTAACTCCGAATTACACTTAGGGTGCCCCCTCCTCAGAAACGCACTCATTTTTTCTTTCAGAGGAAATGAACTGGCAATATTTTTATTACCATTGTCTTCTACGATAATTTATCTACACAACCATATATGGCATGCATGTGTTTGTTTTCTTTTATCTCCGTATACAGCGTCAAAACTCTGCTCGCCGATGGAAAGTCGAACTCGATTATAAAAGGGTATACCGGTATGTGCTCATCTCGGACAAAGAGCAAAATTAAAAAAATGAATGGGTTTAAAAATTCAATTCCATATTTTAAGAATTACGTTGAATAAATAACATTTGATAAAGTCTTATTTTCCATAAAAACACTATGAAGTTTTTCCATGTAATTTTAGATACAGATTTTAGCCAATCAAATTCGGGATCAAATTCTTTGCCCTATCCAAATTAAAAGTTCATAATAATCAATAAGAAGTCATTATATTAAACATCGCAAATGCACCGGTACATTAAAAGTTTAACCTTAATTTTCAAAAAGAACATTTGAAAAATATATATACAGATTGGTCACAAATTAAAAACTGCTAAGGTACTAATACTAATGAAACATAAAGCAATACATTTTTGAGCGGCATTGACCTCTTGTAAAAAACCACAGACAGGTAGGATATGACCCCCTCCCTCCTTTCCATTTTTTTTCTTGCTAAAGCCGGGGATGAGTAAACTGTTTCCTTTTTTTGAATTTTAACTCCATCATATATGCGGTTGATTTAATCGAAATATTTACTAATCGGAGGCATATAAAAAATTAAATGGAAATCTTAAAAGGAAGAAGAATGTGTTTCAGATTTAATGATGTCTGCATATTCCATGATTTCCTGTGCTTTAGATAGTGATCAAATGAAGATTAAGAGAGACAGACGACGAGAATAAAAACAAATACAAGCCATCTTTTTTTATGTATCAGTCGAAAACGAAATACGCTTATTTAAAAACAGCGTAAAGAGATAAAAGGGTAACATTATTAATAACATGCAATACGTATTAAAAATCCAAAATAGGACACCCCCCCCCCCCCCCGCAAAAGGGAAAGGGGGGGGTCGATACCCCAATTGCCTGTGTAAGTAACGGCATACTGCATGTACATATTTTATTCGCTACGTTAACGATGCTTTCCATGTTCATTCAGTACAATTTATGTTATATATATTGAAAGTATAAGAACAAAAAAATTTGCCAGTTGATAACGCCAAATAAAATTAATGTTTAGATTCTCGATCGCCCCATTTACTTCTCTAATAATTCCTTGTACGTTTTTTTCTATCCTCATACGTATAAGCATAAAATAAAATCAAGTTAAGATTTATTTTAGTTAACTGCTGCCTCTATGTAAACTTAAAGAAAAACAGTTTCAATATATACACTGAATGCATTAATACATGTATCTATACCCGGGAAGATATTTGGAGGAAATTCATTCATACGAAGTTATCGTTGATTTGAGTGCCTTGCTGAATTTTCTAAAGAAAAAAATATAAACAAAACGTAAACATATTTCGGGAGGGGGGGGGTAGGGTGTTAGTCCTTGACTTCTAGATATTATCTTCATACCTCTAACTTTTCCGACAAACTTATCACAGATCTGCAATTTCAACGGGGAGGAGGGCGGGGGTTTCTGCCTTTTCCAGAAGGGAATACAAGATCACTTTTATTTTGCAAATCAGGCGAGAATCCGTGCATGAAGAAAACAAAACAAAAAGAAATCAACACATAAAGAAAATATTTCTAAAAAAAAGGAAATAAAGGACTTATTGTTGGTTTACGCCTTTTGCAAGAATTTTCACTAATAATTGTTTTATTGAATTATTATGATATTGGACATTTGAAAGCAGATTAACATGAATTTCCTTTTTTTTTTTTTTAAATTCAGTATAATTTGTTGTTGTTGTTCTTTTTTTTTTTTTTGGATTTTTTTTTTTTTGCTCTGTATACCGGATCAATATTCACGACATCGAGCGTGACGTCACGATATTATATGACGTCGTTCTTAAAAATGCTACATTTTTCAATATAAAAGCCAAAAACGACGTTTTTCCTATACAATTCAATAGAATAATGTCGAAAATGTTTCTACAACAATGACATCTTTGGAATTCAATTACACAAAAACAGTGCAGACGAATTTTATAAAATTTTCAGAGATTGGAAATCAAAGGTAGAGAAATCATATTAGGTAATTTTCATGGTATGTTTTTGGACACTTTAAGCCCTGCAAACCCGCGACCTACATTAAGGCTTCAAATAGAAGTGTTAAGTTGTACAGTTTATCAGAAGAGTGATCCATTAGCCTTGGGCCTCTTCTAAAATGCACATATTTTAGAGATTAGGAACAATGAAGTTCAAGCTATCAAAAGTCACCAGGATCTTTAGCATAATTGTTAAAAGTATATTTATAGAAGACTTCATTACTGTCATAATTATAGAAATTAACCTTAATTATTGACTGAAGTGTTTAATTTGTAGGAAGCTCACCCATTCCACGTTCATCCAGTGTGGACTCGGGCAGACAACCATACCTACGCTATCCATCATGGCCAGCCGAGCAGGCTCAGGGGAAATTCACACGATCAACCTCCAACATTTCTAACAAGTCTTCTCAAAGTGAACCACCTCCCAGCTCTACTGAGTCGAGTAAGTCAAAATGGCATGAGATAGAAGGCAAGGTCAGCTTTCTTATGTGTCAGCTGTCTCGGTAATCCTGAACTAAAAGATACCACAGAGTCTCACACATCTGTTTCATATCTAGATCTTTTGAAAAAGATGTTAATGGTTATCTAACAACAAAGTTTTATGATAAACCTGTTGACTTTAACTTTTCAATTGTCACCTTCCTGTACTTGTGCAGCTATATACCTTTGTCCCTAGCTGCAGAACTGTAGCTCACTGGTCTGAAAAAAATTTGGATGTACAACCAGACAGCTACAGTGCCAACTATTGAAAAAAGTGTGTACTAACTGTGCACAAAAAGTGTGCTGTTTCTCGATTTTTTTTAATCGTATATTTCAAAATATTACTAACCATGTTTTTCTAACACATTCTTTAAATTTACTATTTCCTAAACATAACTGCATGCATTTATAAGTCAGGAACACTGGACGGAACAATCTTCCCATCTAATATGACAGGATGGATAGGTGAAATTTTCAGTGGTTTCAATTTCAGGCCCAGGATGGCTATAAACAACGGTTTTGGGAAATGGTTGAAAAATTTTTTAGTTTGAGAAATGAATGATCTCCAAGTCAATTAAAAAGTTTTAGTTCACTTTTGATCTGACCAAGGCTCCTAGTTGAGGCAACAATAGGGGATCAGAATTTACAAGAAAGTACCGTATTCAGGAAGACTTTTTAGCTCACCTGAGCCGAAGGCTCAAGTGAGCTTTTCTGATCACATTTTGTCTGGCATCCGTCTGTCTGTCTAGCTGTCCGTCTGTCTGTCTGTAAACTTTTCACATTTTCGACTTCTTCTCAAGAAGCGCTGGGCCAATTTCAACCAAACTTGCCACAAAGCATCCTTGGGTCAAGGGGATTCAAGTTTGTTCAAATGAAGGGCCACTCCCTCATTCAAGGGGAGATAATTGGGAATTAATGAAAATTTGGTGTCATGTTTTAAAAATCTTCTTCTGTAGAACCACTGTGCCAGGAAAGATGAAACTTATGGGGAAACATCCTCAGATAGTGCAGATTCAAATTTGTTCAAATCATGAACCCCGGAGGTAGGGCGAGGCCACGATGGGTGACCAAACTTTTACATAGAAATATATAGAAAAATTCTTTAAAAATCTTCTTCACAAGAATGAAAAAGCCATGATTGATCATATTTACAGGGAAGCATCCTCAGGTAGTGTAGATTCAAGTTAGTTCAAATCATGACCCCTCGGGGGTAGGGCAGGGCCACAATGGCAGACCAAAGTTTTACATAGAAATATATAAGAAAATTCTTTAAAAATCTTCTTCTCAAGAATGACAAAGCCATATTTCATCATATTGATACGGAAGCATCCTCAGGTAGTGTAGATTCAAGTTTGTTCAAATCATGACCCCCGTGGGTAGGACGGGGCCACAATGGCCGACCAAAGTTTACATAGAAATATATAGGAAAATTCTTTAAAAATCTTCTCAAGAATGTCAAAGCCATGATTGATCATATTTATAGGGAAGCATCCTCAGGTAGTGTAGATTTAAGTTTGTTCAAATCATGACCCCAGGGGGTAGGGCAGGGCCACAATTGCTGACCAAAGTTTTACATAGAAATATATAGGAAAACTTTTCAAAAATCTTCTTCTCAAGAATTCAGAAGTCATAATTGATCATAGTCATATGGAAGCATCCTCAGGTAGTGTAGATTCAAGTTTGTTCAAATCATGATTCCCGGGGGTAGGGCGGGGCCATAATGGCCAACCAAAGTTTTACATAGAAATATATAAGAAAATTCTTTAAAAATCATTTTCTCAAGAATAACAAAGCCATGATTGGTCATGGGATTACTTTTGGATTTAAACTTTTTGATAATAAATCAATTTCTACTTTTTCCTATCCACAGTGCTCAGGTGAGCGATGTGGCCCATGGGCCACTTGTTTTTCATGAATGATATGTAGATTTAAGTAAGCTGGATACTTAATCAAATAATGAACAAAAACATTGGTCAATCATTTAGAATTGTTTTGTAAATTATGATTGTCACAGGGGTTAAGCGACACTCTATGGATTTTCACCCAGAAGTGGATGTACACGATGGTGATGATGGTGGAATTGTCTTAGACATAAATCTCAAAAGAAACTTTAGAGGTAAGGCAGGAGTGTAATGCTTCCTTTAACCAAACCTTTTTTTAGCTCACCTGAGCCGAAGGCTCAAGTGAGCTTTTCTGATCACATTTTGTCTGGGGTCTGTCTGTCTGTCTGTCCGTCTGTCGAGCTGTCCGTCTATCTGCAAACTTTTCACATTTTCGACTTCTCAAGAACCGCTGGGCCAGTTTCAACCAAACTTGCCACAAAGCATCCTTGGGTGAAGGGGGTTCAAGTTTGTTCAAATGAAGGGCCACACCCTCATTCAAGGGGAGATAATTGGGAATTAATAAAAATTTGGTGGTATGTTTTAAAAATCTTCTTCTGTAGAACCACTGTGCCAGGAAAGATGAAACTTATGGGGAAACATCCTCAGGTAGTGTAGATTCAAATTTGTTCAAATCATGATGCCTGGGGGTAGGGTGGGGCCACAATGGCCGACCAAAGTTTTACATAGAAATATATAGGAAAATTCTTTAAAAATCTTCTTCTCAAGAATAGCAAAGCCATGATTGGTCATGGGAATACTTTTGGATTTCAACTTTTCAATAATAAACCAATTTCTACTTTTTCCTAGCCACAGTGCTCAGGTGAGCAATGTGGCCCATGGGCCTCTAGTAATAATTTGGTTCAGAGTAGATTGATTAGTTTGTAATATTCCTCTAAATGAAGTAAGCAAGGAAAAATATTATCTCCAATTACCCTGATAGAAAACTGCTTTTTTTATAGTTTCAAGTGAGATAGAAGATTTAAAACCTTTAGACAGAAGGAAGCAAGCTATATTAAGGCTTGAAGAAAGAAGGTTGTTGCGACTTAGAGATGCTGGGGTGATAGGAGTGGTAACTAGTCGAAAAATAGAACCAGATTATCGCATTAGTGTTAGGCGCGTCAACTTCAGGTGGCAAAGAGGACTTAAGATTGGTGAGTGTCATTTACTTCCTGAAATCTAATGCTGTTGTCTTCAACATTTAAATATGTTGTTAACATTATATCAAGGTTTATTTTTATCTTTACATAATATATATTGAAATACAAGACACAACCACAGAATCTAACACTAACATTTGTTTAATATTGGATGCCTAACTACACAAGATATTGATGGCAAACTGACAGCTAGACTTTTTATGATAAATGTGCTGACCAACTTTGCTTACGTTAATTTTAAATCCAGGTTAATGAAGGTTGAAGGGGGATTTTCCTCGGTTTTATTCCATACACCCTGAGGCCAAGGGTAAATCCTAGTACACCCTTGATTGGACCTGGACATGAGTCCAATCAAATGTGTTTCATCCAGTATCGATAAGATTTAATTACTACACAATTCAATGCATTGTGACATCATGTTCTTTGCTTTTATTCATGAAGAAACGATGCATAGTGATGTCATATTTTTTACCCCTTAGCTCAAGTCAGGTGTACAAGAATTACTTCTGACTTTGTAACCAATCAAAGCTCATGTTACAAGCTCCATTGGAAATAAATGGACTTTATGTCCTTATATTTTCAGTCAGTTCAATATCTAAGGGTTCTGAATACAAACTTACTTGCCAGATACTTAAAAATAAGTTGATGATACAAAGATATCAATAAGGGGATACTTTCTACTCTCTTAGGGGAATTTCCGCACTTTTTAAATTAGGTTTTTGGCCATACCTTGAATATAGAGATGAACATTTTGTCAGTGCATCTCCTCATAAACCGCTGCACAGAATTTCGTCAAACTTTGCAGATATTTAGGACACAGTGTGTAGATGTGCATATTACCAGGAAATTCCGATTCTTTCATTTTTTCCCAGAATTTCCACACTAAAAACTTAGATTTTTTGGCCCTATCTTGAATATAGAGATGAACAGTTTGTCAGCGCAACTCCTCATAAACTGTTGCACAGAATTTTGTCAAACTTTGCAGATATTCAGGACACAAAGTGTAGATGTGCATATTACCAGGAAATTCCGATTCCTAAATTTTTCTGGGAATTTCGGCACTTTTCAACTTAGATTTTTGGCCATACCTTTAATATAGAGATCAACAGTTTGTCAGCACAACTTTTCAGAAACTGTTGCACAGAATTTCGTCAAACTTTGCAGATATTTAGGACACAATGTGTAGATGTGCATATTACCAGGAAATTCCAATTCTTTTATTTTTTCCGAGAATTTCCACACTTTCCAACTTAGATTTTATCCATACCTTGAATATAGAGATGAACAGTTTGTCAGCACAACTCCTCTTAAACCTCTGCACAGAATTTCGTCAAACTTTGGAGATACTTTGAACACAAAGTGTAGATGTGCATATTACCAGGAAATTTCGATTCCTAGATTTTTCTGGGAATTTTGGCACTTTTCAACTTAGATTTTTGGCCATACCTTGAATATAGAGATGAACATTTTGTCAGTGCATCTCCTCATAAACCGCTGCACAGAATTTCGTCAAACTTTGCAGATATTTAGGACACAGTGTGTAGATGTGCATATGATAGGGAAATTCAGATTCGTTTATTTTTTCTGGGATTTTCAGCACTTTGAGTTTTGGGGAAGCGTGGGGTATGTGAGCTTGCTCACTTTTTCTTTCATTTTAATATGATGTGGCATGCGAGTAGCTTACACTAAGATACGTAATTCTGTGTATCGGTTTTTTGATTTCAATGAATGGTGTAAATTTCTGAGAACTGCTTTCAAAATGCTACTTCTCTTGCAGTTTTAGTCTGATTTAATATGATGTGACATGCAAGTAGACTAATACCTGCATGCATACAATTATATGTATCTTTTTTTGATTTTGATGAACGTTGTTGCAGTGGTAACTAAAAAATTTAATTTAAAGCTACTCCTATAGTTGTTGTCTTATTGCAATATTGTCACAGAAAGAGAACTTTTCTGTTCCTTTGATATAAGAACAAACAAATAGAGCTACAGTCTTGACAGAGACTTCTGGTTTTAATGCATGTTATTGTGATTTGTCAAGTCTAATTTTAGACCTACTCTCACAGGTTCATTCTACCCATTCCTGCTTTTTGAAAATCAGGTAGAAAAAGGTAAAATTTTATGAGGGAATAGGTGGAATTTTTTGTGTAAACAAACAATTAACAGTTACTATGAAAACATATATATTACTATGAAAACAATGATCATCAATTATTAATGAATACTGATGGAATAGAGGACAGCTATATTTACTTTTCAGAATTATAATTTCTACATTTGAAAGAAAAAAAGTGAATTAAATCATTTTTCCTTTTAATCTATTCATTCTAAAATCCAGCTATTTCAGTGCTTTTTTCCCTGATAAATCTATCTATTTTATGTTCTAGAATCAAGATTTTAAAGTGCTTAATATTCTTTTAAGACTTTTTTGTTATTTTCGCAAATCCATATATTTGAATGAAATAATTCATATTTTTCAAAACTTTATTCCTTATTTTCTATCTTAAAATGTACAAAATACAGGAAAATCTAAGATGGGAGTAATTAGACTAATTACTGTAAAAACAAATAAACTATCTAATTATAAAACATCTATTGTTATTTGCGGTGTCTTCTAGCTATTCCCACTTTTTAAAAATCCCAATTCCACCTATTCCCACTTGCAAATAACAATAGATGTTTTGATTAGTTAATTGGTTTTTACAGTAATTAGACTAATTACATCCCATCTTAGATTTACCTGTATTTTACCAGTATTTTGCACATTTTAAGACAGAAAATGAATATATTTATCAAGAAAATATTTAAGATAAACTTAAATTCACTGAAATATTATATACTTTAATTTTGATTGTGTAAAAATTATTATGAAAAATATTTTTATTTGAAAAAATCTTATTTCTCATTGAAATAGAAGTAAAAAGTCAGATTTTTTTTTTTAAATTATTTTTTATTTTTATTTGAAAAAGTCTAATTTCTCATTGAAATATTTGTCACTGATTTTATAATTCAAGATAGCAAATTCACCTGTCCTCTACTCCCAGTGGTTTAATAATTTATGTTTTCACAGTAATGACATGTTTATTCAGCTAATTATTTGTTTACACAAAAATTCCACCTACTCCCACTTGAAATTTCACCTTTTTCTACCTGATTTTCAAAAAGTGGGAATAGCTTGCATAAACCGTTATTTGCAAGTGGGAATAGGTGGAATTGAAATTTTAAAAAGTGCAATCTAATTAAAATTAGATCCTTAACGCTCCTTTATTTTGTTATGTCGCTGTAAAATTAGATCCTTTACCCTCCTTTATTTTGTTATGTCGCTGTACAGCGACATAACAAAATAAAGGAGCATAAAGGATCTAATTTTAATTAGATTGTAAAAAGTGGGAATAGGTAGAAGACACCCTCTCTCAATGTTAGCTCCACCTCCCATGCCTAAATAATGTTTAATCGAGGGTAGATATTAAGCGTAAATTCTCTGTATTTATTAAACAGTAAGGACAAAACATAAAATAAATCTATAGTACCGGTTTATATTGCAATTTAAAATTATTTTTGAATTTGGTGCCAAATTGACAGACTTTGATCTTTACAAATGTGAAATTAGATTATTTTAAGATTTAAAAGCAACATAAGCAACCAAAAATATTGAAACCACAGCATTTAAGTGCAGTCAGCTTTTAGATTAAAATGTACAGATATTCTAGTAATCAATTTACTGTAGATTCCTGATTATAAACGAGGATTTAATTGCCGCTTAATTTCGCGAGAAGCATCACTCGCGAAATAATATTACTCGCTTTTATTTTAGGGTACTGAAATCCATTTAAATTCTTTTGATCAACTGTCCATTTGCGGATTATTACTCTCGGGATTTGATGTTAAAGAGCCAGTATGCGATAAAAAGTACTCACAAAAAATAAGGAATCTACAGTATGCATACATTTATTTAGAAGAAATTATTGGGGGCTTTTTTTGTAGGTGAAGGACAATTTGGTAAAGTTTATTCAGCTGTTAATATGGACAATGGAGAATTGATGGCCATGAAAGAGGTTTGGATGGATATGTAGTTTGTAACGTTAGCATTAATTTAAACAAGGAAAGAATTGTTTATCATATTAGCTTGGGAATATCAGCAAGTACATTCTATTTGATCTTGCAAAGAACTGATTTTGGTGTATTTTAGAGTGTTTTCAAACTTCATAGGCTGATATATACTGAAGTAAGCTATTTAACCTTTTTCTGATGAACAACTACATCTGTAGACAACAATGAATCTAAATTAAAATCTTCCTGGGATGTTGTTACTTCTAAATTATGATTTCAAATAAGGCCCTGTGTGGAGGTTTAATAGGGGATCAAGTAATGCCCTGTGTGGAGCCTTACTAGGGGATCAAATAATGCCCTGTGTGGAGACTTAATAGGGGATCAGATATTACCCCACCTCTGTTGATTTTTCCGTGAAATCCTGGCTTATGATTGGTTAAAGTCTGTCACGTGAAGGCGGTGGATTACTTATACCCGGTCAGTTGCAAATCTATACCCGGTCAGTTGTAAATCTATACCCGGTCGATGTATTACGTAACAAAGATAACGTGACGTCATAATGGGCACAGTATAAGCGTGATGAAGCATTTAGCAGAGAAAAACATTTATAAACCACAGATAAAATGTAAGTGTTTCATTGGTGGGGTAAATTCGTTACATAGTCTTTTAGTGACAGGGTATGGGATGATACCTGGTTAGTAAATTTCATACCTGACTCGGCTCCGCCTCGCCAGGTATGAAATTTACTAACCAGGTATCATCCCATACCCTGTCACTAAAAGACTATGTAACTAATAATACCCTGTGTGGAGGCTTAATAGGGGATCAAATAATGCCCTGTATGGAGGCTTAATAGGGGATCAAGTAATGCCCTGTGTATGCCTTAATAGGGGATCAAGTAATGCCCCTTGTGGAGACTTAATAGGGGATCAAATAATGCCTTGTGTGGAGACTTAATAGGGGATCAAAAAATGCCCTGTGTGGAGGCTCAATAGGGGAAAAAATAATGCCCTTATGAAGGCTTCATAGGGGATCAAATAATGCCCTGTATGGAGGCTTGATAGGGGATCATAGTATGCCCTGTGTGGAGCCTTACTAAGGCATCAAATAACACCCTGTGTGGAGGCTTAATAGGGGATCAAAAAATACTTTGTGTGATGGCTTAATAGGAGATCAAGTAATGCCCTTTGTGGAGCCTTACTAAGGTATCAAATAACACCCTGTGTGGAGGCTTAATAGGGGATCAAATAATGCCCTGTGTGGAGGCTTAATAGGGGATCAAATAATGTCCTGTGTGGAGGCTTAATAGAGGATCAAATAATGCCCTGTGTATAGGCTTAATAGGGGATCAAATAATGTCCTGTGTGGAGGCTTAATAGGGGATCAAATAATGCCCTATGTGGAGGCTTAATAGGGGATCAAATAATGCCCTGTGTAGAGACTTAATAGGGGATCAAATAATGCCCTGTGTGGAGGCTTAATAGGGGATCAAGTAATGCCCTGTATGTAGGCTTAATAGGGGATCAAATAATGTCCTGTGTGGAGGCTTAATAGGGGATCAAATAATGCCCTGTGTGGAGTCTTATTAGGGGATCAAGTAAGGCCTTGTGTGGAAGCTTAATAGGGGAACAAATAATACCCTGTGTGGAGACTTAATAGGGGATCAAATAACACCCTGTGTGGAGGCTTAATTGGGGATCAAATAATGCCATATATGGAGGCTTGATAGGGGATCAATTAATGACCTGTGTGGAGGCTTAATAGGGGATCAAATAATGCCCATTGTGGAGACTTAAAAGGGGATCAAGTAAGGCCCTGTGTGGAGTCTTAATAGGGGATCAAAAAATGCCCATTGTGGAGACTTAAAAGGGGATTAAGTAAGGCCCTGTGTGGAGACTTAATAGGGGATCATGATGCCCTGTATGGAGACTTAATAGGGGATCAAATAATGCTCCTTGTGGAGACTTAAAAGGGGATCAAATAAGGCACTGTGTGGAGTCTTAATAGAGGATCAAATAATGCCCCTTGTGGAGGCTTAATAGGGGATCAAATAATGCCCTGTATGGAGACTTAATAGGGGGTCAAATAATGCCCCTTGTGGAGGCTTAATAGGGGATGAAATAATGTCCTGTGTGGAGGCTTAATAGGGGATCAAATAACACCCTGTGTGGAGGCTTAATAGGGGATTAAATAATGCCCTGTGTGGAGGTTTAATAGGGGATCAAGTAATGCCCTGTGTGGAGCCTTACTAGGGGATCAAATAAGGCCCTGTGTGGAGGCTTAATAGAGGATCAAATAATGCCCTGTGTGGAGACTTAATCAGAGATCAGAGTTTAAGCTCACATGAGCCTAAGGCTCAAATGAGCTTTTCTGATCAAAATTTGTCCGTTGTCTGTCATCATTGTAAACTTTTAACATTTTCTTTTCTTCTCAAGAACCACTGGGCCAATTTAAACCAAACAAGCCACATAGTATCCTTGAGTGAATGGGATTCAAGTTTGTTCAAATGAAGGGCACACCAAAAGAAATCAAAATTAGAAAACTAGGGATGTCAACGAATAGTCGACTATTCGACTGACACAAGAAAGCGAAAGGACCGACTATCGAATAATGCGACCAACTATCGACTAAATAAAATACAATAAAAAAGAGCGATAATTCTTGATTACAAATTTATCTGTTTATGAAAAAGTTGTTGACAAAATTATTTTTCTGAACAAAAACTGTTGATTTTTCATTATCAGTGTATAAATGCATATTAATTTAATGCTCTTCTATAATCTGATAATTGTCAATAACAATTGTTTTTCTGATAAATTATGAATCACAGTGCTGTTTTTTTTTCTAAAATTATAATGAAAACACGGTTATTTAGTCATTATACATTCCATGTATCCATAATATTGTTTTTTTAGTAATGTTCAAAGGTTCACATACGGTAGCCGAGACAATTTTTGACAATTTGATAATTACTTTAATAAAAATACGCATACTTTGTAGTGTTGTAAGCTAGGGCATTTAACTGTTTTAAAGTTACGGTAATCGCGGTATTAACAATGTCACACGGGCACCTGACATGTAGATGCAGTGTTTATCGTATTTTATTTATATGAGTTTAAAAAATATTTGCTGGTAGTTTTTGTTGATGCATATTAAAACTAAATAAATATAATTTCATGTAAACATAATATATATAGCCACAAGTCAAGTGCCTGTGAATATCTGTCAAAAGCATACGTAATGCATACACCAAAGAAGGATAACTCTTGCATAGTCTATGCAAACAAAAGTAAAACGGAAATCAAGAATTTATTATGAAAAAAAGGTTCCGAATAGTCGACTATCGTTCGAATAATGCAATCGAATGTTCGACTAAGGAAAATATATATTTTGACATCCCTATAGAAAACGTTAATCTTCAACTACAACTTTCTGGCCATCCCATTGAAAATGTTAGAACAGAGAAATTATTAGGTGTTCACATTGATCATACTCTTCAATATACAGTACTGACCGGACACAACCTAACAGAAAGCGAACCCGGAGCAGAACCCCGGGTTCGCTCGACAATGAGTGAAAATCCGCTCCGGAAAAAGTTCACTCGGGGTCTCAAATGCTAGGGCTGACCCCGAGCGAACCCGGAGCGGACCCAAAGCGAACCCGTAGCGGACCCCGAGCGAACCTGGAGCGGACCCAGAGAGCAAACCCCAAATTCAGTCACACAGCGGTCCCAAGAGAGCGAACGCGGGTTCGGTATTTCTTTACAGAGCTGTCAATCAGGATTAGCGATTAACCAATCAGCGCATCAACCAATCAAAATAGCATATTGATCTGTCGATTGGGATATAAGATCGAACGTGTTGATTTAATTCGATATAAATCCAAACACTGTACATACAAGCAAAACGTATGAATGTGCTGTGTAAATCTATTATGATAATTAAAATATTATTTAATATTTATTTATTTTAATTCTCCGGCTTGTATTTTATATTTATATATTTATTTTCTTTTTTATTAAAGCAATTAATTAATTATATGTTTTAATTTTCCACGTAGAATTATACATGAATATTTACGTTTTTATTTTCTTTAGTTTTTTATACCAGTATTTAAAGTCCATTTGGTAAATAAATTGGGTAAATACATCAGTCAATGCATAAAAATGGAAATCAATTGATATTACAATTTTTGTTGACAAAGAGAGGAGAAAAGAAATATTGTTGGTCTTCGACAATTATTGTAAAATTTCATCATCTCAAGATACTAACAGTTCAGGAATATTAATGTGCCCAATATTTAAATATAAATAGATGCAGGAAACATCAAGACGAGAGAGAGAGAGAGAGAGAGAGAGAGAGAGAGAGAGAGAGATCATAACTGTAAACTCTCATTATTAGACTTGATTTTAATAATAAAACCTGATGACTTTTACTTAAATTTTTATGAGTCGTCCTCCTGTACTCAAATTGTTTTCTATATACCTGCTCTGGACAGCTATTTTTTTTTTTCAAAAAATATACATGTACAGGAAGATGTATATAAAGCACAAAAATTGACCAACAGTTTTCGGGACGCTATGTCCCTTCCTCAGGACAAAGAAAAAAGTTAAAAAGTCATAAGAACTAAGGAAAAAGAGAAACCAAAAACAACTAGCACTACTACTAAACTACTAAACACTATATATTTACATATAGTTCCATGTTGAATTGGAAATTTATATAAACACTATTAAAGAAAGAATTCCAGACTGCTATGAAATACGTCCGGTTTTTCGGGGTATACTCAGGTGAAGTGCGATTTACATAATTGAACGAATTAATTACGCTAATTAATCACGACATTTAATAAATCGTGCATTGTTTCATTCTCTCAAAATGGCGTAACTATATTTGACAAAGAATAATCAGAGAAATATAATATAGAAGGGATATTTTAACATATGAATTATGATCTATTATAAATTTTGAAATGTTTTAGGACTAATTATTGGGAAAAAATAATT